AAGACATTCTAGCTACATCCTTTGAAATGAAGGACTTGAGATCCCTCCGATACTTTTTAGGCGTGGAAGTTGCTCGGTTATCTCTGGGCATTTGTTTGTCTCAGCGCAAATAAGTGATTGACCTGTTAATAAAGAACAATCTGCTTCTGTGCAAACTGATGGTTGTCTCAATTGAACTTAATGAAAAATTAGTTGATGTTCCTAATGCATTTTCTGTTAACAAGACTCACTATAAGTGTTTTGTGGGAAAACTTATTTACCTCGCCCATACACGCCCCAACATATGCCATGTGGTTAGTATAGTAAGTCAATTCATGCAGAGCATCATCTCCACGTGTTGCACCGGATTCTCCACTATGTAACAGACACATCGGGCTGAGATTTGTTTTTCTGGCACCACATCTTTCATTCTATTGTTGTTTATACAAACGTTGATTGGGCTGGATCAGTTCATGATCTACGATCTATCTCCAGATACTGCTCATTTGTGTGAGGAAATCTTGTCAAATGGAAACACAAAAAACAGTTGGTGGTTGCCCGGACAGTGTTGAAGCTGAATTCTGATCGATGTCTTTGGGATCTGTGAAGCTATATGGTTACACATTATGCTCTTTGAACCAAGTATGCCGACCTCCAACCCTATGCAGTTGATTTGTGATAATAAGACCGCCAGTAGCATTACTCACAACCTGATCCAGCATGATCGTACCAAATATGTGGAGATTGAGGGACACTTCATGAAGGAAAAACTTGAGTCAAGGGAAATTTGTATTCCTTTTGTGCACTCTAGTTGCCAACTAGCGGATATCATTACAAAAAATATTTCTCGGCCACTGTTCAATGACTTCAAATCCAAGTTTAGCATGATTGACATCGAAGCTTCAACTTGAGGGGAAGTATTAGAATATTAAAATAATTACGGTTATACTTAGCCGTTATTAATATGCAGATTTTCTTTTCTTTGTTGTTATTTGTTTTCCTATTTTCTTCTATTAAGTTTTTATTTTTCCTGTTTCCCATTATTTTATTTTTATTTCTTTCCTTATGAGTGTACCTTGTAATTGGGTTTATGTACCTCTCTTTCCATCAATATGATATGCTGCTCTACTCTAATATTTTAATAGGATGATTATACTTAAAGGTGGTCAAACTACATTTCTCTTAATTTGTTATTGGGTTTTCAATATCTTTTTTGTCGGAAATGTTTGTGTATAATTTTTAGCTGTGAAACGATCTAAATGTCTTCTAAGCTATGTAGTTGTACCAGCATTTCTTATAGCAAATATTTTCTTGCAATAAAGCATTCTTTTCTTTTAACCAAATCATGATATTTTCTTTCTTGTTTTGATTTCGGTGGATTTTTACTTTCAATATTGTCATCCCTTTCATCAACTTCATCCTCATTGCTTTCATCATCTCCTTCGCCATTATTGTCATTCAAATATTAGTCATCATCATTATAAGATTGTACTTGATCAACAAGGTTCTAAATTTCTTGATTAAATGGCTCATCAATGATATCTTTTACAAATAGTGGTGTTGAAATTTTAAATACAAAAATGATGAAAACATAAGATAACAGTGAGTGTAGATTATTGTTAGTTGCACTGACTTGGAGAGATGCTAAGAAAAACAAACTGTGAAGTGGATGCAATATTTAAAAACATAAATAGCCATACTAGAATCAAGAAATTCGAGTATACCTCTTTCTGAATTAGTTTGAAAATCTTGAATTATTAATTTTTAATAGCTTACTCTTTTTTTTTTTTAACTTTCTTTTGGCTTTTCTTTCTCCTGAAACAAACAAGAGTTTGAGCTTATTTTAATCAATCACATCTTTGACTTCACTAAAGTATGTTCGACAATAAATTAATTCCAGAGAAGAAACTTTCTTATTTAAAAGTTTACTGTAAGTCTTCTAATTCAAGGTTGACAGGTTTGATAAGATACCATTTAATAAAGAAAGTCGCGTCACCCAACTATCTAACCCTGTCAATAGCATTCAACCCCAAAACTCCCTTTTTTTAAGGCAAAAAAAAAAAAAGAAAAAAAAGAAAAAAAAAAAAACAATGAAAACTATTAAAATATAAGAAATGCGTGTCTGGTGGCAAAAAAATTTAGTAAACAGTTAACTAACATGATAATTTTTAACTTGCCTTTGAGATGATTTCTGGTTGGATTTAGCTAAGGGTTGAACCAAGACCTAGCGTCATTGAGTGCTGATCTTGAGAGAGAGCAGATGAGCCTATTGGTGTCGCCGAGTGCTGAATGCTGAGTGCAAATCTTACTGATCATATAATTGCAAGAGGTAGAGCGGAAGATGTGCGGTGAAGCGAAGCTGGAGTGTGATGCTGGAGAGCAAGACCGAGAGAAGTGAAACAATGATTTCAGGCTTTAGGTTTTGGGACTGAAGTGCTGCCCTGGAGAGTGCAAAGCTCTGGAAGAAATTCAGGTTTTAGCTTTTAAAAGGATGAAATATAAAATTGCTGGTTGGTTTTAGCTTTTAAAAGGATGAAATATAAAATTGCAGGTTTTCTGTTGTC